TAACTGCTCTCAATACATATTTTATCATTGCTTCATGTCCTGCCTTACCCTTGAGGGGTATATGGTACCTCCAATTCCTAAACCTTTCTGGAATTTGCAGGGTAGGGGCTTTTTGTAGCTTCCTCATCCTTATATAGTTAGATTATGTATTTCTCTGTTCTTGGTTGCCACTGGTTCGTTCACTTTTTAGTGTCTGAAATTTTACTAACATTTATCTTGTGCTGTTTTTTCTTCTTCCATTCTTGTTGTCTTTTTCGGTATATACTTTTGTATTTCTCTTTTGTTGTCATTGTAATAGAGTTTCTAGACAGTGGAAATTCATGTGTTCTTCCACATTTAATTGGTTAGTTGTGAAGAGTGAGTGAGGCTTTCACTCTGGGTTGCCCTTTTAGGTTTCTGGCTTGAGGAACTTGGTGAGGAATGCAAGAAGGGCAGAGTCATTAGGATGGAGGTGGGAACTAGGGATGGGGAGGTGATCACTTTTAGATGTAATAATTTTGAAGTTGCTATGGATGTACAAGTAGAAACTTCCAGTATAAGTATAGTGCGCTCCCCCTTACCTGCATCAAAAGGTCTGAAAATATTAAATGGAAAAATTCCCCCCCAAAAAAGAAATTCCAGAAGTAAACAATTTGTAGCCCTGGCTGGTGTAGCTCAGTGGATTGAGCACAAGCCTTCGAACCAGAGGATTGCGGTTCGATTCCCAGTCAGGGCACATGCCTGGGTTTCAGGCCGGTTCCCAGCAGGGGACACATGAGAGGCAACCGTACAATTCTCTCCCTCTCTCCTTCCCTTCCCCTCTAAAGATAAATAAATTAATTAATTTAAAAAAAAGAAGTAAACAATTTGTAAGTTTTAAATTGCATGTTCTTCTGAGTAGCATGAAGTCTCATTTTATCCCACTTTGTCCCATCAAGACATGCATCATCTTTTTGTTGTTTAAGATTTCATTTATTTTTAGAAGGGAAGGGAGGGAAAGTAGAGAGGGAGAGAAACATCAATGTCTGGATGCCTCTTGTGCACCCCCTGCTGGGAACTTGGAGTGCAACTCAGGCACATCCCCTGACCAGGAATTGAACAATGACCCTTTGGTTTGCAGGCCAGCACTCAATTCACTGAGCTACACTAGCCAGGGCTGAATTATCTTTTTGTCTAGAATATCTATGCTGTAGACACCATCCGTCCTCTAGTCACTTGGGAGCTATCTTGATTATCACATTGACTGTTAAGGTATCTGGGGGCTTATGTTTGAGTAACCATTGTAGTAGCCTAATTCCTTTGTCACTCACCTCACTTCATGTCATCACATAGGGATTATATCAGCTCACATCATCATAAGAAGAAGGGTGAATACGGCACAAGATATTTGAAGAGAGACCACATTCACATAACTTTTTTATAGTATTGTCATTATTACTCTTATTAGTTATTGTTAATCTCTTACTGTGCCTAATTTATAAGTTAAACTTTATCATAAGTATGTATCAGGAAAAAAGAGTATATGTAGGATTCAGTATTGTTTTGTTTCAAGCATCCACTGAACATCTTGGAAAATACCAGTGTGAACCTAGACCTCAGCCTTGAGGTTTTGGTAAGATTATAGATTTGTAAATTGCAGTAGTGGTTGAAGCCATACATGTAAATACGATTACTCTCAGAAAGCATGTAGAAATAAGAAAAGTAAAAATTTGAGAAGAAAGCCATAGGGGACACTTACAGTCAACAGAGTGAACGTAGAAAAGAACAGCCAGAGATATAAAAGGGAAGCTGAGAGAATAGGGTTAGAAAAGCCAAGAGAGGGGTTTCAGGAGGATGAGTGGTCATCAGAGTTGACAGCAACAGAGAACATGAGGAAGTTTTACATCAGAAAGGAGTCTGGTTTTGACTGTTAGGATATTTGACATGCATTTCCAATGAAAAAGGAGGCAGACAGTATGTTGCTGTGGGTTAGGACTGAATTAACTGAAGATAATGAATATAGATGGCCCATGAAGCTTGGCTGTTAGAGGGAGACAGTGACAGTGAGGAGGAGTGGAGAGGGCAATGGCTAAAGAACAGGGCAAGAGAGGGTTGGGTTTTTTGTTTGTTTGTTTGTTTTTTTCATTTAAAGATGGGAGTGATTTGAAACTGTTATAAACTAATGGTAAAGAGCCAGCATAGAGTACACATCAACTGGAGAGAAGCCCTGAGGAGATATAAGTCTGTTTATTTTTATTTTATTGATTTTTCCATTTCAGTTGACATACATTATTTTATTAGTTTGAGGTGTACACCCAGTGGCTAGATGTTACATAAATTACTGTAATCATCCTGATAAATTTCGCATCTGACACACTGCATAGTTATTAGAGTATCATTGACTATATTCTCTATGCTGTACTTTACATCCCCATGTCTCTTCTGTAACAGCCCAGTTGTACTTCTTAATCCCTTCACCCTTCACCTTTTTGGATTCTCCTAACCGTCCTCACATCTGGCGGTAGTCAAAATGCTCTCTGTATCTATGAATCTGTTTCTGTGCAGCTTTTCATTTTTTTAAAAATTTTTTATTTATTTATCTTTAGAAGGGAAGGGAAAGAGAGAGGGAGAGAAATATCAATGTAGGGTTGCCTCTCATGTGTCCCCTGCTGGGAACCGGCCTCCAACCCAGGCATGTGCCCTGACTGGGAATCAAACCGCAATCTTTTGGTTTGCAGACCTTCGCTCTCCACTGAGCTATACCAGCCAGGGCTTCATTTTGTTTTTTGATTCAATTGTTGATAGATATGTATTTATTGCCATTTTGTTATTCATATTTTTTATCTTTTTTTTCTTCTTAAAGAAGACCCTTTAGCATTTCATATAGTCCTGGCTTGGTGGTGATGAACTCCTTTTAGCTTTTTCTTGACAGGAGAGCTCTTTATCTACCCTTCGAATCTAAATGATAGCTTTGGTTGCTAAAGTAATCTTGGTTGTGAAAGAGATACAAGTTTTTATTATTGCAGTAGAACATGAAAAATAACGTGAATTTTGGAAAGAAAAATTAATATTTAGTAACATTATATATTTCGACTATAATAATCATAGAATTTAAATGTTTGGTGATATTGCCAGATATAAGCTAATTGCATTTGTATGTATCACCAGTATCAGTTGAATAATGCAATGAAAAAATAGCTCTTGTGTTTTTTTTAACATCATTTTTTAAAAGACTTTATTTATTTACTTTTAGAGAGAGGGAAAGGGAGGGAGAGAAACATCAGTGTGTGAGAAATACATGGGTTAGTTGTCTCTTACTCACCCCCTACCAGGGACCTGGCCTGCAACCCAGGCATGTGCTCTGACTGGGAATCAAACTGGCAACCCTTTGGTTCATAGGCCCACACTCAATCCACAGAGCTACACCAGCCAGAGTAAATTAGCAGAGTTTTAAAATGATATCCAAAACTGTTGAGTTTTCTTGGTATAACAAAAGGAAGAAAGAATAAGCATTGATCCATGTACTGGTTATATAGACTTGATATATATTATTTTGTTATATCCTTTCAGGAGCTCTAGGAATTAGGCTTTTACTTTTTTTTAGTTCATAAGATGGGGAGTTGGAATAACATTTGGCAAATGATGTAGTCTAGGGCCATCTGTCTCCAATGTCTACGATTCTTTCAACTCTTCATAATACAGTTGTGGGCACTGTTGCAGTTGGCAACTTTTTGGGAGAATAATTTGTCAGTATATATCAAGAGCTGTAACCATTTGTGTTCTTTTTTGGATTCAGTAATTCCTATTCTAGGAGTCTATTCTAAGGTGGGAATATTTCCCAAAATAGAAAAGGCCTTATGTCCAAAGATGTTTATTGCAGCATTATTTAGATGTGTGAAATCCTGAAAGTGTGTAAATGTCCATTAATTAAATTGTCAAATATCCACTAGATATGATATATTTTATAGCCATTGAAATGTTAATTATAGCATAGCATGATTTGATATTAGATGAAAACAGGGGAAGGTATAACTTTATATATAGCCCTGACCCAGTAGCTGAGTTGGATAGAGCATTGTCCAGATACATCAAGGTTGAAGGTTCGATCCCTGGTCCAGGCACATACAAGAATCGACCAATGAATAAATAAGTGGAACAACAAATTGATGTCTGTCTGTCTGTTTGTCTCTCTCCCCCTCTCTCCCCTATCTGTATCTCCCTTCCCCCTCTCTTTCTAAAATCAATTAAAAATTTTTTTTTAAACTTAAAACTTTACACATAGTATAATTACAGCTACATTAATTAAACACATGTGTAAGGGAGGAATACTAGAAGGTAATAAGTAAAATGCTAACAGTGGCTGTGTTTCAGGGTTGGAACTATGGGAGATTTATGTTTTCCAAATTTTATTCATAATAAAACAAAATAAGTGTGGAAAGATGGGCTTTCAGAATCCTCAGCCCACGCTAAGATTAGCCCGTGTTCCTAGGAGCATAGATTGTGGTGTGCAGAATCTGTTTGTAATCTAGTGATTCCGCATAGAGTAACATAGATTATATTGTGTGGAATCTAATGAACAAAATGAACTAACAAGCAAAATAGAGACAGACTTAGAGAGAGCAGCCTGATAGCTGTGTGGGCGGGGCTGGGGGGCAGTGGAGGGATTGAACAAAAAAGAAAAAAGAGAAAGAACTCATGGACATGGACAAGTGTGATTACTGGAGGGAGAAGGATTGGGGAAACGGAGGAGGGTATGGGGGATAAATGGTGTTGAACAGACTTGAGCTGGGATAGTGAACACACAGTACCCACTGAACAGATGAGGTGTTGTAGAGCTGTGCACCTGAAACCTGTATAATTTTGTTAACCAATGTTACCTCAATAAATTTTAAAAATACTGTGTATAGATGGCCAAAAATGGTTGGGTCTAAGTAGCTCACAGTGTCTTCTGAACTTCATCCTTTTGGGCTTGGCTTTGAGCAATCAGGATCAGATCTTAAAAACACCCACGGGGATTTTATTATACATTTGTTTTCTCATAGGCACTGAAGTGGCAGCAGCACCAGGGGTTGCTTCCTCCTGGCATGACCATAGATTTGTTCCGAGGCAAAGCAGCTGTCAAAGATGTGGAAGAAGAAAAGTTTCCTACACAGCTGAGTAGGCATATTAAGGTAAGATACTTAGATACTCAGCCAGCTGGTAATCATTTGTTGAGGACTCAACATGTTCTTGCTCAGTCAGGCCCCTGTTCTAGGAGCTTGGGTTAGGAAGCAGAACTCATTCTCCAGCTCTGACCACATTCAGTGTTGCCATTGGTCACTACTGGGGTCCTGTGGCCGGGCAGCGGCGCCTCTCAGCTGTGTAACCTAGTGGACATACATTTGACATCTGGCCCATCATCTGCCCTGCACTTCCTCCCAGGAAGCCAGCTTTGGAAGAACGGTTAGCTGTTTTGTGAAGCCTGGGACTGACTGAACTGTTAATATATTTGTCTTGTTCAGCATTTGTGTTTTTGCCCGCTGTATGTTTAGGCAAATTATCAGTCATGGACTGTAAAGTGGGCTTGTGTGCAGTTTGAGGAAAATAATTTTATCATCCTATGGCTGGGTCTTGTTTTATTTGGCGGGGGGAGGGGGCCAGTGTTGGTTTTTGTTTCTTTGTTTTTTATTATTATTTTAAATCTGAGACTTTTCTAGGAAAAAGCACAATTAAGTAATCGTTGCAGTTTCCAGAATTGCGCTACTTCAGCATCTTTTTTTTTAGACAGGAAGGAAGGGAGAAAGAGAGGGAGAGAAACAATGATCAGTTGTCTCTCACATGCCCTCAATGGGGACCTGGCCCCCAACCCAAGCCTGTGCCCCATAGCTTTTTGGTTTGCAGGCTGACGCCCAACCCGCTGAGCCACACCAGTTGCAGCAGCATGTTTTTATATTATAGTTTCTCGGGGTTTCTGCTGTCATTGAATTTATGGATTTTAACATAATTCATATTCTTAAAATTTGACTTTGGCTTAGCACATTGAATTTGTCTCTTCTGGGTTTTATGTTTTGACTTGCGTTCAAAGATATTTTTAGCAATACTTTTACCCTGGCTGAAGCCTTGAGACAAATAGAGATCCACTGCAATTATACTGCTGGGCTAAGATTTTTATTACACGTTCCTTTTTGGGCATCTAAATTGAAATTCATAAAAGAGCATTTCTCTATACTCATCTGTCTGATGTTCTGTAGTTTTCATGTTTACTGGGAGCATGACTGCTGGTAAGTGATCAGGATGCATTTCACAGGTAAACAGTTCACACCAGCTTTCATTAGTTTTCCTGGAATTAGTTACCTACACATTATCACTTAATTAAGAGAAGGTCATGAAAAGAAACAGTAATAGAACATTTGTTTACAAAATAGTGTGTGAAAACAGGTATCTGTTTTGAAAAAGTGACTTTTCCCCTTAAAGCACAATAGGAACATATAATGCCATAGTAAGTTGAATGTTAAAATCATGCTAATAGTGTCTGATCCTGATAAAAGCTGCTTGTTTGGGTTAACAGGATTGTGTCTTCTAAGTTTCATGCTAAAATAGTTTTTTGGGGGGGGGCACTTTTCTTTGGAAATGTCAACTTTACATTAAAAAAAACTAGTTTCAGCTGAGAGCCTACACATCAAACTGGTCAGAGAAAATATATCCACAATCTTTCTGTGTCTGGGTACAGAAATGTCCAATACTTTAATAATAAGCTAGCTATGACTTTATGCAAGGGCAAGGCTTCTCAAAAGGTTAAAATGAGAATTGTTATAAGGCCATTAGATAAAGATGTATCTGTTTCATTGTTCCGTTTGAAACAGTTTGGTCAGAAATCACATGTGGAGTGTGCTCGATTTTCTCCAGATGGTCAGTATCTGGTCACTGGGTCTGTTGACGGATTCATTGAAGTATGGAACTTCACAACTGGAAAAATCAGGAAGGTAAAGTATTTAAAATGTATTAATTTTTCTAATGAAACAATGACCTATTATTGCTTTTTAAAATATTTGTTATTTTTACAGTTTAATTTTTTTGAATGGGTGATACGTACATCTGATAGAATGTTTATATAAAATAGAAAAATTGTTCACTAAAGGGTCTTGCTCCCACTCTTGTCCCTCAGCTGGTAATTTCCTGTCCTTGGTCCACCCAGGGTTACTAGTTTTTTTGTGTGTAACCTTGCTGGAATTTTTTTGGTATATTTAAGCAGTTTTTATTCCCAATCTAACCTAATTGTAGTACTATTTGTGTTTCTGTTATTATGAATGAGAGAATATCTTTTTATATGTGATAAGCCACCATTATTTCCTATTCCGTGAAGTCTGTTCACATCATTTGCCTGTTTTGGTTTTGGGTTGTGTCATTGATTTGTTGGAGTTCTTTAAAGTTTGAGGAAATCAATCTTTGTAATACTTTTCAGTTTTGACTTTTGTCTTTTGATTTTGCTTACGGTTTTTCTTTACATACCTAAAATTTTTTTGTATCATACTTATCCATCTTTTCTTCCACAGTTCTAATTTTTTTATGTTTCATTTTATGTTCAAATTTTGATCCATCTGGAATTTGTTTAGGGAGATAAAGTTAGTGTAGATTGAATTTAATCTTTTTTCCCAAGTAGCTATTTATTGACTCTCCACTAATTTAAATTGTAATCTTCATCACAGAGTACCAAATTGTACTTGAGTAGTGAATTTATGAGTAATTTTCACTTTTTTCTTTATATATATATTTTTACAGTTTGTCTGTTTTAAAACCATGAGGCGGTCTCAGTTTATAATTAGAAAAATATAGGGATACTTTATTTGAACAATACTGGTTGATAAAATAGAAGTCACAAATAAACAGATTAGTCAGTAACATGATTTAAGGAAAAGTAGCTGAGAACTGGGGGAAGAAAACATTAGGTTCTCGCATCATACCCCTAAGGTAAATAACTTCAGATTTATTAAAGATGTACCGTATGAAACTGGGTGGAATTTTTGCTTAGAAAAGATTAGTCAGCAAAGGATATAGGCTGTTTTGTTGGCATGCCTCACAGTGTTAGAATTGTGTAAAAGCATTTATTCCCAGTATCATCAGTTGCTATTAGGAATGTGTGTGCATGCCACTGCTATTTGCTTCAGAGATTTAGTGTAGGTATAAGCCATTATCCTGCCCTCAGTGAGTTTGTAGAGATCTGGGGTGACTGGGTTTTGTGTTATTTTGATAACTGATTATCATTGTTCCCTTTAGGATCTTAAGTACCAGGCCCAGGATAACTTTATGATGATGGATGATGCTGTCCTCTGCATGTGCTTCAGCAGAGATACAGAAATGTTAGCAACTGGGGCCCAAGATGGAAAAATCAAGGTATGGATTATGGCACAAACTCTTGTATGTGGACATTTTGAGAGTTCTGTGATTAGGGAGTTGGGGTCTTAAATATGATATGCAGCTCAGTGACAGCTCCTGTTTATTGAGCATCAACTTTGTGCTCATTGCTTCATTGTTTTTTGTTTAATCCAAATAATAACTCTGCTGAGGGAGGTCCAATAATTTCTTTAAGGTCACACAGTTAGTAAGTGATAGATCTGGGACTTCAGTCCAGATCTGCTCTTGCCCTTTCTGCTGGATGCCCCCACCCTTCCTCACCTCATAGATGTTGTAGTTTATTTTTTAGCAAGTGAGATGGCCTGTAGCTCATTAGCTGTGGCTTGTACTTAATTGCTAGTAAAATGCCTTGAGCTAGATATAATACAGAAATGGTCTCTGCAAAGTGAACTTAATGTCTAAATTTTTGTTTTAATAATTTACAAGGAAAAAGGTTCAGCTTTTAAGGATTCAGTTATCATTGTACTATGTGAACCAGACACATCATATTCAGCTATTAGCATGCATTTTTAATGCTATTTTCATACAGTAGTGAGCACTGCATGTGGCTTGGCTTTGTGGGCTAGAGTGGGACACTATTTACAAGTTTTCACTATGTTTTTTTTATAAAGGTTTGGAAAATTCAGAGCGGACAGTGTTTGAGGAGATTTGAAAGGGCACACAGTAAAGGTGTCACCTGTCTGAGCTTTTCTAAGGACAGCAGTCAGATCCTTAGTGCCTCTTTTGACCAGACAATTAGGTAAGTAAGAATCCCTAGATTGCCCTCACTCGGGTTCGATATGATGCAGTACGTCCCTTCAGAGGTACTTGTAATTCCCTGTGCTTTTACCAGGATGCTATTACATGAGAGTGAGAGTATGTGAGGTCTTATTTCCCCGGTCAGGGTACGCTGACACAGTGCTGTTAGTTTGTCCATTGGAGTCTTTACCTACCTGCATCTGCATCGTGTTTAGAGGGCATATCACAAACAGAGATTCCTGGGATCCAGCCAAGACCTAGAAGTCTGTCCATGAATAGAAGCCTGTGGTATTATTGGCATATTTTCTTCCAGTCTCTGTGCCAACCTTTATCTTAGTTTTGTTTGATTTTTTTGACACAATGAAAATTAAACTGCATCCATAAATGCATAGACCTGTTATAACGAGAGCTTCTATAATTCATCTAAAATGCATTCAATACTTGGTCTCAACTATAACATTGAATATTAATAGTTCTTTTTATTTCCTTTTATGTGTGATAGAATTCATGGTTTAAAATCTGGGAAAACCCTGAAGGAATTTCGTGGTCATTCTTCCTTTGTTAACGAAGCAACATTTACACAGGATGGGCATTATATTATCAGTGCATCCTCTGATGGCACTGTAAAGGTTAAGTATTTGGGGGTTTCTATTCATTTTTGCTCTCTGAAGAGGTTTCAGGGGTGGTAATGGTGATAATTGTAGTGAAGTAAACCTCTTTACTCTCTATTTTATCTATAATTGAGGTGAGTCTGAGACAATAGTAAAATCCCATTGGTAATTCCTTTTGGCCAAGGAACCTCAAATCTCAGACCTACAAAATCAAAACAGACTTTAGCATGTGCAGGGAAAGGGGAAAGGTGTGAGGTCCTAAATTAAGTCATACCCCTCTTACAGGGTTAAATTTGATCTTGCCATAGGTATGGTCCAATTGCAGCCAATTCACAAAGGACTTGGTGACCAAATAAATGGATCTTTTTTTTTTTTCATAGCCTCATTTCACCCCTGGCCCCCACACTATGGCCTTTCTAATAGTACTTCTAGAGGAGCAGAAGATGTATAAGAGTAGAGCCCAGCCCTTTCTCAGCTACCGCCCTCAGCTGTCCACTGAAAGTAATGGATCTCTAGTACCCTAAGAGATTTATTTTAAGAGAGGGCTTCATTTTCTTGAAAAGATGAGGAATCCAAATAGTAAATTGCTGAAGATCTTTGAGACATTCCATACACATTCCGGACTTGCTTTTAAATTGCCTTAATTTGGGTGCTTTCTAGCAAAAGACCTCAACATTTTAATACAAACACCTGAAAGTCAGACTATGCCCTGAGGTTTGTTCCGGCTTGGGAATTGAATCAGAAACCTGAGGGTAGAAGACACACACTTCCTTAGGATGAAGGGGGAAGTATACAGAGCTGTTGGTACTTCAGTCATGGGATCGCTCTCTGTGCTATGTGTAGGGTGCCACCACATGTAAAATGCCATTGGGAGGTGGTTTTTATCTATTTTTAGAGAGAAGGGAAGGGAGGGAGAGAGGGAGACAAACATCAATGTGTGAGAGATACATTGATCTGTTGCGTCTTGCACGTTCCCAACTGGAGACCTGGCCTGCATCCCAGGCATGTGCCCTGACCAGGAATCGAACCAATGACCTTTTGGTTCATAGGCTGGTGCTCAGTCCACTGAGCCTCACCAACCAGGGTGCAACTGGGGTTTTAGAGAGGAGACTGGGACAGATGATTACAGTGTTTATTAGGAAAAAAAAAAAACTAGGGCAACTAGTGGGCAACTTTACTATTTATGGGTGTTCAACATCTGTTTTGTGCCAAACTCTGTTGAAGGCACAGAGAAAATAACACAAATTCCATACTTTTGAGGCATTTACACCTCATTAAATGAGTGGTGTCCAGACAAGACTATGCAACTAATGTTTGGTCCCTCCCTCGGCTTAGCACATCTCAGATGTCAATAACTATGATGTCTGATGTAACCCTTCAGTTCCTAACAGTCCAGGGGACACAGTGAAAAGCGTTAGGGTGGAGAGCTATTACTAGAAGAGAGGTTGTACGGGGAGAGATAACACAGGTGGCCAAGAGCGGCTTCCACCTCATGGATCCTCGTGTGTGTGTCAACATTTGGACTTCTGCTCAGGGGTTCGAGCTGTGCATTAGAATCATTTGTGGAGCTTTTAAAATGCACATGCCTGTGCTCCACCAAATCAGAATCTCAGGATAATAGGGTCCTGAGCATGCAGTTCTAAACAGCTGCCATTTGACTTTTTTTTGTCCAGATGAGGGTAGTTTTGTGGTTGTTGATGACAGTGGCAGTATTGACATATAGTTAATTTTATTTATTTATTTATTTATTTATTTATTTATTTATTTTGAGAGTACATTTATTAAAGCTGGGAACAGGGAAACAAGGAAGGGCTTAGAATGGACGGAATGAACTGGAGAGCACCTAGGTGGAGCTGCTTTGGAAATGTTATAGGAGAGAAATGAGCCGTGGCAGGGCTGCTTTGGCTCACTGAGAAGTAAGTCACAGTGACAGAAGTGAGCCAAGGTGGGGCTGCTATTATTGGCTTACTGAAAAGTCAGAAAAAAGGGGGTCTTGGAGACAGATTCAGGGGCTTAGCCTGGGGCAAACTGCTGCCCATTTCTCCCGTTTGCAAGTCTTGTGGGGAGGAAACCCTTAGAGTATAGGAGCTGCGTGCACACCTAAGAGGAAAGAAAGGTGTGGGTGTCTTCCTGGGAGGGAGAGCATTGACACAGCTAATTTTAAAGCTGGGTAGCTCATTGGAAAAATTTTATGAGAAAAGATCATAGATTTTTAAAGGTTTTTATTATTTAGCTTTGTGACTTTTATTTATACTAATTAGCAAATAGATGAGTGCTTACTATAAATATGGCAGTGTAGGTATTTGATTAGACTGAAAAATCAAGAATTTCTTTCTGAGTCAATTTTATTCTGTTTTAGTGATCTAATTTTTATTGTTTTAAATCCCCAAACTATAGAGATTCTTATGCTTTGGATTTGTTTATGCTTTAAATTTTTGTGTCACAGATCTGGAATATGAAGACCACAGAATGTTCAAATACTTTCAAATCTCTGGGCAGCACAGCGGGGACAGACATCACTGTCAACAGCGTGATTCTGCTCCCCAAAAACCCAGAGCACTTTGTGGTGTGCAACAGGTCGAACACGGTGGTCATCATGAACATGCAGGGGCAGGTGAGTGCCCCAGGGGGAGTGCCTTCGCCCAGAGCCTGTGGTCCTCGCCCGCTTGGCCACCACCCCCAAGCCATGTACACTGTATTTGTTATTCAAGTGCTTATTAAACTATACTCTTTGGCTTTTCAAAAGTTACCTCTTTCCCCCAAGGTTTTTGTGTATTTTGCTCTTTCTTTTGTATTCTTTGCATACTTGAGGCTCTTATCTGTCTTTAAACCTTTGCTGAGTTTTATGGAAAATTTAAAGATAACAGTTCCTGTCTGAGTGAGGGAGATAGTGTCAGTTACCAACTTGGGACATCTAGCTACCCTGTGATCTAAGGAACTCTTAAAGGAGAAGGGCAACAATGTCTGCATGACGTGTATTTGTACTCAGCACATCGGTACGATTCTTAAGGAACCTTACTTTTATAGCATCAGGGACATTAGAAACTTCAAGGTTGAGGTCGTAAGCCTTGAGACTATGTTGTGTGATACTGAAATGTTGGCCTGGGCATGTGGGGATTTTGCTGAGCATGGAGAAGACCTGGGGGGTGGTGTATGGAGCTGTGTATTCCTTTAGTCCCTGTAACTGATACAGATTAAACGTTGTGTTTAGATGCATAAAGATGTTGCAGAAAACAGTAGAGTGTTCTTGTGTACCCTTTCCCCAATGATAGCATCTTACATACCACAGTACAATGATCAAAACCTAGAAGTTCATATCAGTACAATTCTGTTAACTCAAATACAGTCTTATTTGGATTTCACCAGTTAATTACATTCATTCATTTTGAGGCAGGAAGTTAATCATTCTATGAAATTTCATCACATGTAGATTTACGTAAACATCACCATAATTAGGATACAGAACTGTTTAATCACCTCCAAAGAGTCTTCCTCATAATACGTATTTACATTCAAACCCTCTCCATGAAGCCTAACCTCTGGTCTGTTTTCCATTATTATAATTTTGTCATTTTGAGACTGGTGAATAAATGGAATCCTGTGGTATGTAGCCTTTTTTGACCTTTGCACTATGTTTTCTCTCAGCTTGATTTGGAATGATTTTAAATGGTATGCAAAATAGAGCAAGCAAGGTTCTGGAGACAGTGCCATCCTACATGAGAGAGCATCTCATTCTGTTGGACAGTGGGAACTGGGGGGCATGGTCAGTGGAACATTGAGAACTAGTGGGGTACTGACTTAGAATTTGTTGTATGTGTGGTAATGAATTTGCCTTAGGGTAAAAGGACTCATTAGATTAAAGAGCGAGATTGGTGACTTGGGACATAGGAAGTTTAAGTTTCTGTCTGTCACTGACTTTAGCTATTGACTACTGCCACTGGCCATTGAATGTATCTCAGGATTTAGCATATGAAGAATGGAACTGATGATCTATTTAAAATGTCAGTAAACGAAAGTACAATGTAACAATGTAAAGATAGCCATTTAAACTGTTGCATTAGAACTGCTAATCCAAATGTTTCGTTTTGGTCTGCAATATGCTGTAGATTGTCAGAAGCTTCAGCTCCGGTAAGAGAGAAGGTGGTGACTTTGTTTGCTGCGCCCTCTCTCCCCGAGGTGAATGGATCTACTGTGTGGGGGAGGACTTTGTGCTCTACTGTTTTAGCACGGTCACTGGCAAACTGGAGAGAACTTTGACAGTGAGTATTACTGACTTCAGGCCATTTAAAGAAATTAATGCTTGTGTTTTTCTGAACTCTGAAATCTTTTCCTGACTGCTACCAGTGTGAACCTCAGTATAAAAAATACAAAAAAAAAATCACTAAATAAAATTAAGGACCCATAAGTAACTGTATGTAATTACCTCCTCTGTTAAGAAAAGTCACCCTTCGTTGAGAACCTCAGCTTCAGATGGGTAGGGTAGGTGTACATAAAGAAGAGAAGAAGTGAATACGCCGGTCTAGCTGGTTAGATTGTCTATATCTTCCTCAGGGGCTTGGAGAGTGACAGAGCTAATTCTGTGTGTGCCCTTTCAAAAGCACATTACTTTTACATTATCCTTCCAAATGATGTGATTATGATGTTTTTAAGCAGCTTGATTTTGTAATAGTACAAGGAGCAATTAATACCAGCTGTTGTAATAGCCAGTCCCCAGATTTCAGCCAAATTTCAGTGGCTTAACTGAATGAGTTGGATAGCCCTTTTCCATATATTTTTTTAAGGTTTTATTTATTTATTTTCGGGGAGAGGGGAAGGGAGGGAGAAAGAGGTGGAGAAACATTAATGTGTGGTTGCCTCTCATGTGCCGCTTCCCCTGCCATGGGGACCTGGCCCACAACTCAGGCATGTGCCCTGACTGGGCATCGAACTGGCAACCCTTTGGTTCGCAGCCAGCACTCAATCCACCGAGCTACACCAGCCAGGCCTTCTCCATCTTTTTAGATGTGCCATTTGAAATATATGTCCTTTAAGATCTCAGAAAGAAAGAAAGATACCTGGAGGGCTATGTTGGGTGGTTTTAAGACCCATATCTGGGAATGGCTTCTATTACTTTGTTTCTCATTCGTTTTTGGTTAGAATTCAGTGACATGGCCACACCCAGATGCAAGGGGGACAATGAAAATGTAAATTCTGTGGTCCAGGAAGAAATGCTATGGTGAACACATAGAAAATTATGTACATACCCAAGTTAGAGAATAACCTCTTGTCTCGTTATCATTCTTGAGTGAACTTTTGGTGCACCTACCCTGGGAGGTCTCCAGTACCGATCTAAGACTGGTGGAGTAAAGCAAGGTGAGGTGGAGAGTGTCCTCTAGCTGAGGGCCCTGGACAGTCCAAGTTCACTGAGTAGAAGGAATCATTTGTTCTCAGCCACTGTCTTGAGGCAAAGTGTTATTCACACATTATGAAAAACACTGAGTTTTGGGTTTGTGTGTGTGTGTAGCCCTTTCTGAGGCTGGCTTAGGCTTGAATCCTTTGGTGAAAAGTGGAAGGTTCACTCTTATTCTCTCACACTCAGCTCTGGAAGCCTCTTTGGAGTGATTTTTCTATAGACCTGTGTACCCTAACCCTGTGCTTTACTTTTCCCAGGTTCATGAGAAGGATGTGATTGGTATTGCACATCATCCTCACCAGAACCTGATTGCAACCTACAGTGAAGACGGACTGCTCAAACTCTGGAAACCCTAATTTAACTTTTTTCTTTTTATTAGCTTGAGAGCATGTACTTAAATGAAGACATATTCCTGTGATGCTTTTTTTTTTTTGGGGGGGGGGCGCTTTTCTGAGTAAATTGTCTGAATTAGGCACAAGAATAATTTTGTGAAAATTCATGTTTAAGTGGCAGTTACCCTTTTTAATATATTTTTAAGGTATTCATTTGTTTCTGATTGAGGTAGTCACTTAATGTTTTCAATAGTCTTTTACCTGGAAAGTGGAATAAGTGCTATTTCTAGGGGAAAAAAGTAATCCTTTGATTATTGAAATGCTGATTAAAATGTGCCTCCTTGCAGTAAACTTGTAAATAAGGGACTATTCCATATTCAATAGCTGTTTTTTTTTTTTTTAGATTATAATAAACTTTACAACTTTCCTGGGGCTTTGTTTTTAAATGTAAATAAATGCTCCTCTAGTTAACATATTTACTTAGAATCTAGTGAGGTGGGTGGGACATGGACATTATTATGCCTGAATCTTAAATACAGCAGGGAGTCAGCTCCTGGGTGGGAGAGGAGACTGTACAGGAAAAGGTTTGACTTTTCCACCCATTTTTATTAGCTGTGCCTTCTCCCATGTTCTGGCCAACCAACCTTACCGGTGGAACTAGTTGCAGGGTCCGTTATAGGAATTCAGTTTCGGCACCTCCTCTTCGTTGAAGGAGGGTTCGGCATTACAAATGTGCTATTGTTCTGAAGAAAAGGAACTGAGATTTAGAAAAGTCTTTTTTGCCATGTGTGTCATTCCAGGTAGCTAAAGAAAATTAAAAGCCAAGAAACCCTTGAAAATATTTGGCATGTGGGTGTCTCTTTTGTTTCAACCAAAGGTGTTGCAAGATGGAGCACCTGTGTTGTGCTAGATACCATTTCCAGTGAGGCATTATTAGTTTGTGTAGTTCTTTTATGCCCCTCCTGTAATTTTAGGTGCAAACTAATGGGGAGAGTTTTTAAAAACCTTTACAGTCTAATAATTTACCTTTGATTGTAATTTTAAATACAGCCTGACTCTGTGTCTAGCAAATGGTAATGTTCCATATTGGTTAAATAAATTCTTAATGATGTTAAGAAATCCCTCTCTCCCAGCCATATTTCCCAAACTAAAAATTTTTCCTGGGACTGCTGGTCAAAATGGCAGCATAGGCAGACATAGCTCACCTCTTCACACAACCACATCAAAATTACAACTAAAACATAGAACAACCATAACTCAGAGTCATCAGAAATTGAGTTGAATGAAAGTCTGACTACAGAATCAAAGAAAACACATTCATCCAGACTGGTAGGAGGAGCACAGATGTGGAATGCACTGGTCCCTCATTCACATGTGTTGGATAAAAATCGGGAGGGATGTCAGGAGTGAGGAGTCCCAGCCCCACGCCAACTCCCCAGCCCTGGGTGTAGGAGCCAGGAAGATAAGCCACTATAACTTCCTGGCTGCAGAAACCAGTAGGGATTGAGTGGGAAGAAACTGCAGGATCCCCAAACAGTTCCTGTTGAACCTATACACTGACTCACCTACTCAGACTCACTCCATCTCAGCTTCAGCACCCAGGTAGTACCTTGAAAGGCACCAGTGGCATAGAGGGAGAAACAAGTGTCTTGTCATCGAGGCAAGCAGAGGCCATTGTCCCTTTTCTGATCCCTCCCCCTACAGAACCATCAAGCAGGTGTCATATCAGACTCCATCAACCTGGCTAACATTGACCTGCCTTTGGGATCCCAGAGACTGCCCCACCCAACTTAAGAGCCCACCCAAGCTGCTTTTCCATATGAATGGCTGGTTTTGGCTTATGCTCCACAACTACCTAAATTCCCTCTAACAAGCAAGAGCCAGCTTCAGCCCCAGGCCAGACACTAGCAGCTGCCAGCCTAGAGACACAGCTTGGCTTTCCCAGGGTGGCCCCAGGCAAAACACAGGTGGGGCTGACTTTGGTCTGCACCACCCAGGAAACCCCAGGGACAGTACACCCAGTGGACAGCTACAGACCATGTTGGAGCATCAGCACCCTGCCCCCACACAGCTGATCCTCCATGGAGGGTGGAGGTTGGCGTTTAGTGGTCACAGCCAATCCTTCCAGCTGATAGGCCTGGGGAAATCCCCCCATTTTCTAACAGCAATAGAGGCTCAACTGCAAGAGGAGGGTGTATCAGGCCACATGAAGGGGACACCTCAAGTACCCAGATTAAGTGATAAGGGAGGCTGTGTCACTTGACCCTACAGGACACCAATTACATTAGGCCACACTACCAAGACATGGAGTCAAAGCACCTCTACCTAATACATAGAAACAAACACACGGAGGCTGCCAAAATGAGGAGACAAACATGGCCTAAATAAAAGAACAGATCAAAACTCCAGAAAAAACTGAATGAAATGGAGATAAGCAATCTGTCAGATGCAGAGTTCAAACCACTGGTTATAAGGATGCTCAAGGAATTTAGGGAGGACCTCAGCACCTATTTGATCTTTGAATAAAGATCAAATAAAAACTGAAGGGCACAGTAATTGAAATAATGTACACTTTACAGGGAAACGAGTAGGTGGAGCCAAGAACCAAATCTACGATTTGGAACATAAGGAAGCAAGCAAAAACACACAAAATCAAACCACACACAATCAAAATAAGAAGAAAAAAGAATTTTAAAAAAAGGATAGTATAAGCAGCCTCTGGAATAACTTTAAGAGGTCCAATATTAGCATCATAGTGGTGCCAGATGAAGAGGAAGAGCGAGAAATTGGAAATCTATTCGAAAAAACAGTGAAAGAAAACTTCCCTAATTTGGTGAAAGAAATAGATGTGCCAGTCCAGGAAGCACAGAGTCCCAATTATGTTCGATGCAAAGAGGCCCCGTCCAAGACACATCATAATTAAAATGCCAAAGGTTAAAAATAAAGAGAGAATCTTAAAAGCAGCAAGAGAAAAGCAGTTACCTACAGGGAAGTTCCCATAAGATTGTCAGCTGATTTCTTACATGCAACTTTTCAGGCTAGAATGGATTGGCAGAAATTTTTAGTCATGAAAAGCAGGGATCTACAGCCAAGATTGCTGTGCTCAGCAAAAATACCATTTAGAATCGAAGGGCAGATAAAGAGCTCCCCAGACAAAAAAACCTAAAGTAGTTCATCATCATCAAATTGTTGGGAGCCACCCTGCCTGGTGTCAGGAGCTGTAACCTCCCCCGGGCCCATGGCTAAGGCTGAGTGAGTGACCTTCGGGACCACAAGCCACTAAGGAGACAAAGCTCATCTCCCTGACAGGAGCACCACTTCTCTTTTTTCCATAACTGGCCCCCAATGCTCGATCAGTTAGCCAATGACGAGTAAGATTCCCCAAGGGGGGAACAACCTAAGACAGGCACAATCATGTGGAGGCCCCAGGGAAGGACTTGGGGAGCTATGGAGAAAGGGGATGATGGACCTTTGCCCCTCAGCTTTGACAAAGCCTGAGTCCTCATTCTGTGAAAAGTCTCCTCATTTCCTGCCTATCTTGCCTCCTCTGCCTGACTTAAGCCTGAAACAGTAACAGAGGGCGGTGCAGCCCTGTGCTGGAAAGGATGGGCTCCCTGGGAGATCAGGCCTGAGAAAATATGGAAAATCCTGTGAAGCCTGCTTTGCTAAGCATGCTCTTAATTAAATGATAAAGGTCGGAGCAGGAAATGAGTTTTGTTTCCCAAAGTTTTGTAGCCTTTTAGCTAATAGACCCTGACTCAGAATAAGCCCTAATAGTTCTTTGTATACAATCTACTGTTTGATCCTTACTGCCTGACAATAATGAGCTGTACCTGTATTCCTGTGCAAATTAAACCAAATAAAAGCCTGTCTAGGCAAGGGCGTGCATGCTCTCCCCTCAAAAGAGTGGCCTGTCCCTTTTCCTCCACAAGATTTAGTAGTCCACGTGAATTTGTTCTGTATCTCCTCCATAACACCACAGACACCACAGGCCGGTGTCTGCGTCACCAAATCATCATTTAAGAAAAAGATGACCAAAACTATGAGCAAGCCCTGGCTGGTATAGCTCAGCAGATTTTTGAGTGCTGACCTGCTAACTCACAGGTAGCCAGTCCGATTCCCTGTTGGGGCACATGCCTGGGTTGGGGGCCTGTGAGAGGCAACCGATAGGTGTGTATCTCACACATTGATGTTTGTCTGCCTTTCTCCCTATCCTTTCTCTTCTAAAAGTAAATAGTTGGGCAGTCACAATGGCTGTTACCTGGTAATTTTTCTGAAAAAGCAGTCTTAGGCTCTACTCTAGACCTATGGAAGCAGAAACTGGCAGTGGCACCCAGCAAGCACTCACGAATTTGAGAACCAGTGGACTAGAGGGCAGTTTCCTCACCTATAAAGTACAGCGATCCCTTGGTATCTGCAGTGGATTGGGCCCCAGACCTCCAGAAGATACCAAAACTGGGACGATGCTCAAGACCCTTATATAAAAATGACATTCACATTCAGGTTACAGCAGGTAAGCTATGTATCAATCATTCAGGTAAGCTATGTATCAATCATTCTTTTGGCAAAGTCAAGTTTTGCTTTTTGGAACTTTCTGGGATGTTTTCCCACAAATATTTTTCAACCCATAATTTGTTCAATCTGTGATTACAGAACCTGAGATGCAGAGGGCCGTTTTGATCCTTGTTCAGTCAGTCTCATGGAGCTGTGAGTGATAAAGATGCAAGATTTCAGAAACCTTTGAGTGTATTCGTAGCTTGCTAGCATTTTTTTTTCCTCTGTGCTTTCAGGGCCTGCTTCATTTTCTCAGTTATTTCAAAAGGAAAATTGTGATGTCCAAGCTGGGATGCTCCCTTGGTCTCAGCCTCAGTATCTTATTTGCAGTGGAAAAGGCTGCCATTAGTTGAACTTCCACATTAATTCTATATGGCATTTCTGTCCTAGGTGGGGTAATACAATCACATCATCACATTGATTAAGTACTGACACTTGGCTGTACCCAACCATCTAGATTTTAAAACTTCCCAGGTAATTCAATTTGCAGCCAAGGTTGAAAACCAGCACTGTATGCAAAAAGATCTGATGCTAACTTTTACATACAGGAAGGTTGTACACAGTACCCTTGGGGGACATAATTGGCCTCTATTCTCACTCCCTGAAAGTGTGAATGGGTGGGGGTAAGTATCATAGAGTAAGCAGGTAGTGCTGAGGTCAGGAAATGCACTTGTATTTCTGTGATAACCTTGGTCAATGTTCTAAGAGGCATTTTTTTTTTTTAAGACTATAAACCTATCAAGTTTCGGCCTCTCCAGACTATTTTTTTTTACTGATTTCTATTTTCTTTTAAAAGTTCCATGTGGTATGATATATATAAAATAAAATTTACTTTGAACCATTTTTAAGCGTACAATTCAATGTTATTATACAACTGTCACTATCTCCAAAACTTTTTATCATCCCAGACAGAAAAATTATGCACCAATTTTCCATTTATGTTCCTCCCGCCACCCTAGTCTGTGGCATTTATGTAGCTGGAAGCATAATATACAGTATTGGTCCTTTTGCATATCATATATAGAGTGGGTGAGAGTAGGTTGTTTTTTTATGATCTAGTAATTAATACGGCATCAAACTGTTTCATGTACTCACAACTGTAAACCTACTTTTGCCAATCCCTGTATAATGTGCCACGTTCTGTTTACCATTTTTTAGACACACAGTTGGTTTCCCTTTGGCTATTGTGAATGACGCTACAATAAATACTGGCATACCAAGTTATCTGAATTTTAAGTATACAGGCTGGGTCATATGGCAATTCCATGCCTGGCCTTTGAGGAGCTGCCCAACTTTTCCACAGCAGGTAGGTGTACGTATCATTTTACACTCCCATAAACCATGTAAGGGTTCCAACTTCTTCATTCTCATTTGCTTTCAGTTTGAATTAGATTTTGGATTATTTGATGGGAAGTAGTAGCTCACTGTGGTCTGTTTTGGATTTCCCTCATGACTGATACTTTTCACTCTCTACACATTTAAATGAAAATATTTTGACTACAGTTAATGGTATTTTATGAGTAATGGAATTACTCATTTTAACTAGTTAAATGAAAAGTTACCTATCTTAATTAGTGAAAAGCTAATGCTTTCTTCTGGGAAAAAAAAGCCTGTAGTGACACAATGGAAATGCTTTGTAATCAGTATATTAAGGAGACATTCATACATTTCAAGAATTGCTTAAGTTCTGATATCCAGACTTAAGCTTGTGAACATGACTTTTAAACACACAAGTAAAGCTATTCATAATTTGCTATACTACCAACATTAAATTACAGTTACTTTGGAGCATAAGTTAAATGGTTTAAAGTAAGCCTGTAACATACCTAAAACAAAACAAAAAACCACCTTCCTATCTCATAACATGCAAATTATTTTTCCATGTAAAAGTCTCACCACTCAACTAAATTAGTCTGTTCCAGAAGTCACTACTCTAAGGCTTATGGTCCAAAGAGAAGAAAAAAAAAAATGTAACCAAGGACTGATATAGTTATATATATATATATTTTTTAAAAAGATGGCACTGCAGAAGGGAATGCAATTCTACAAGTGCAAGCCCTCAAGAAGCATCTTATTATGATAAACCCCTTCTTCAGAAAGGTATCGTTTCTATCACTGATACCACAGGTTAAACTGTATGGCATGCCACCTTCAAGTAACAGTTGAGGCAATAAATGCAGAGGCATTACAATGAATCCCACTTAATACAACTATACAAGCTAACACTTCTCTATAAATTAAGTTTTTTGTCTGATTGCCAGTTAAATACAGAATTTTAACTTCAGAGCTTAACAATTAAGGATCATACACCAAAGTCAATACATATAACCTAGCAGTTCAGTCTAAGCTATTCCATGTACATAGCTGAAATTAATTACAAAGTATGGCCTAACAAATGCTAGGGGCAAAATTTTTCTTAAATAGTTTTTACAAGTATTAAACTTATCTTGCACACTTAAGTCATCATACATACAGGGCAAAGTCAGAGCTTTTATATTTTGAGTTTATTCTTCATTTAACTTTTAAAACACTACTATAGTTGAATATTAAAACAAAAACAATAGCAAGTAGTGAGCATATTGTGATTACAGTCCTTCACCCATTCACTACTGTGTATAAGATGCCAGCAGTGAGTGCCATTCACCGGCCCCATTAAGAGGTCTGACACTGGACACCGCCCCTGGGATGATGCTCATCATCCTCATATGCTTCTCCATTGTAATGGCGCCGTCTTTCTTGATTGGGATCAAAGTCCACCAGTTCTACCTGGTCCATTTCATCAGTCTCTTCTACTTCCTTCCTTTCAGGTAGGAGTTTTTCCAGCAAAGAGAGTTTATCAGGAGAGAGAAAGCCATTCTCAGGGAAGTTTACCTATAGAAAGAAATTTCTACTTTAAGTTCAATTTGATTTACTTCATCATTAGTTCCTTAAATTATTGTCGACCCATTTCCCCCAGAAAAACACATGTAACCATACAACTTTTCAGTGAATTCACCAATCTCAGATTAGAACACATGTTCTAAAAAAGGCACAGTGTCTAGTGCTCTGAGCTAGTTTCAGTTCAGTTTGAGACATATAGCACAAGTTAGGGCTTTTTAAAAAATAATGGTCTCAGTAAAACTGTACTGTAATAACTATTGTTCTGTTCAGCAAATACATTATACAAGAGCCCTTCCTAAAATACCTTTTATGAACCACCCTACTAATAAACCAAGCACTGTAATTTTTGCCAAAAATTCACAATAGTTATCCCAAGTCCTTTCACTGACACTTAAGATCCCAGTTATAGCCCTGGCTGGTGTGGCTCAAGTGGATCGAGTGCCAGCCTGCAAATCAAATGGTTATCCATCCAATCCCCAGTCAGGGCACATGCCTAGGTTGTGGGCCAGGTCTCTAATAAGGGGTGGGTAAGAAGCAACCACACATTGATGTTTCTCTCCCTATCTTCCCCTTTTTCTAAAAATAAAAACAAAATCTTGCCCCGGCTAGTGTAAGCTCAGTGGACTGAGCACTGGCCTGTGAATCAAAGGGTTGATGGTTCAATTTGGGCCAGGTCTCCAGTAGGGGGCACATGAGAGGCAATCACACACTGATGTTTCCCTCTCTCCCTCCCCCTGTATAAAAATAAACAAAATCTTAAACAAAACCTTAACAATACCTACCTGCCATGCACTGTGCCCCCATTAACCAATCTTTAAGTAGTCAAATACCGGGGCAAACCAAAACCAATCCCAACATGTTAACAATGACCAACACAACAGTAGTAGTATTAGACCAATGTTATTTCTTCCTGGACAAGGGAGAAGATAAATGTAAAGTTTCTTCCCACTGAAAAAAATGTAAATGTTACCAGATTTTAGTAACCAGTCACTTAAATATTCCTAGAATACGTTACAGCTTACCTTAAATTCGATGATTAGGCGACCCTTTTCATACGGTCTACGATAAATCGGCATGCCTTCATTTAGTACACACTTGATATCTCCATGCTTGACAATCTGGCCTAAAAACATTGAAGCCAAGTTCTTCCTTAAATACAGCCAGATTTTAATGAATAGGGGAAAATAAAGAACAGAGGAATGTCCTAGCTCATTGACAGGAGGTAAAGTTATGAACCAATACTTAACTTTTTTCATTTATGGATTTTCTAGGGCCTTCCAAAAGAGCCATACGATTTCAGCTCAGCTCATAAGGAGGGTATGTAACTGAGCAAGTAAAATATGTTTCCTTAATGTCTATACTAGCTATCTGCAGAGAATGAAAAGAAATGGCCAGAACAGAAAGAGGCTCATATTACCATACCTGGATGGGAGGTGATGACTATGGTTCGGTTGTCAAGAGTAGCTATTGGCTTTTGGAAGCCACACAGTGCTTCAACCAGCTGTATGTCCATACACATGAAAAGGTCTTCTCCTCGCCTGCATTAACATAAATATAGCACATACTTAGACCTTTCAAATCACCAATAAGTACCACAGGAGGCAATTATTTTCTTAACAGCAGCAAGGTTATCTTTCACAAAAATGTCCTTTCTTCTCCATTCTAAAAACAGCTGAGAACTGGGAACAGCAAATACACGCCAGCCCCCTTTCCTAAACAAGACTTCAGAATCCTTCTATACACTTTGGGTCCCGGATTATGGGGCCCTATGAAATACTGATGCACATAAATTAAGTAATACAGTGCCTGGCATGTTATAAACACAATCTTTTATACTTAATAACATGCCATTTCCTCCTCAGATTTTCTTCCTTTTCTAATCCACATTAAAAAAACATCAGGCAGAATACCCTCTTGAAAACACCGAGGATTTATCTCAAACAATAGCATTAAAATCCTGAGCTTGACAGTGTTGGGACACTCATGGAATGTTCTTTTACAATTAATTTAAAACCAGTTCCTTAAGCCCTGACCTGTGTGGCTCAGTTGGTTGGACACTACTGTTCCACAGAGCGAAAGGTTGCTCATTCAATTCCTGGTCAGGAAACATACCTAGGTTGTGGGTTCAGTCCCCTACTGGGGTGCATACAAGAAGCAACAGTGTTTCTCTCCCTCCCTTCCCCTCTAAAAATAAATAAATAAAAATCTTTTTTAAAAAAAAATGAAGGAATTCCTTCAGATGTCACTCCTAGTAAGATTAAAATCGTAATCCAGTCCAGAATTTTAAAGTCAGCCATGGGTGTATATTTAACACATTTGCTGTTTACCATCAAGTTTTGTGCTTCACTTTAAGTTCATTCATTGGAAACACCATCAAATATCTGACAGCACCCTGGCTGGTGTAGCTCAGTGACTGAGTATGGGTCTGTGAACCAAATGGTCACTGGTTCAATTCCCAAACAGAGCACATGCCTGGGTTGCAGGCCAGGTACCCAGCAGGGGATGCACGAGGCAACCACACATTAATGTTTATCTCCCTTGCTTTCTCTTTCCCTGCCCTTCTAAAAAATAAAATCTTAAATTTTTTTCAGAGCAATAGATCCAAATTTACAGTTTTTAATAGAGATGGTTCTAGACACTTATTTACAATTAAAAGCAACCTATCATGAACTAAGAATTGAAATTGGTGAAAACTTCAGGGCAAAATTTTGTCTAGGGAGGTATCCCCTAGTCCACCTGTTTATTACATTCAATAAATCATCATCTAATTGAAGTTTTTACCCTTTAAATTCCAGATTAGGTAACAACTTACCTAAATTTAGATAAAAAGCTAAAATTTGATTTTTTTTAGTCTTTTAAAAGATGGAAATACTAATGATTAACAACCTTTAGAAAAGATATTACCCAGAGCTTTGCTCTCCCAATATATTTTTCCAGGGTATTTCTAGGAAATATGTTCTGAGAGTAATAAAAAGCTCACTTAAGTTTTAAAAAAATATTCCAACTATGAAAGATGTCAGTTTGAGTAAATGGTTAAAGTTTTTACCGAGTGAAAATAGTATGGTCCTTCTGATCTAAAACAATGATAATATCTCCTGGCTCTAGCCCTGGTTCTTGGTCTCCTTCACCATGGAATGTTATCTTCTGGCCATCTTTCATGCCTAAAAACAAAAGGTTAATTTTATACTCTTATTTAACATCCAGCTAAGGTCAGATTCGCAATCTATTAAGAAGCACAGATGCATGTTTGTGTGTGCATAAAAAAGAAAGTTCATTGAAGTTTTTGTGGACGATAAAGTTTACAGAGACCACTATAAGAATGCCTGTATCATTTGATCGATCCAATTTCTTACTGCAGAAAAGCTATCACAGTGGAGAACACAGAGCCACCAGATCAGGCCCCAGACCTCAAGACTCAGAGCTATTTACTACCAGCTGGATTACCCAGGGAAGCAAGTTGTGTAACTTTCCTAACCATCAACTGTCCCACAGAGACCTACCTCATCAAAGCTGTTATGAGGATTAAAAAAAGAAAAAAAGAAGTCCTATGCTGACAACAAATCAGTGACTGGCAAACACTGTAACCATGAATGTTAACTATTTCAATTTCATGGAATGTATTATCATTATTTCTATTAACCCTAACAGAAACATACACCAAAACTGTCTTTTTTCTATTAGCAATATTTACATATAGGAAATCTATATCTAAAATCTAAGTAACTGAAAAACCCATATCATTTTGTCAAAGAAATGATTCAGTTTAGCACACTTAAAAAAGGATAAATATGTGACATTGCCTTCAGCCTATGTGGTTAGTGTTAAAAGTACAAGTATTTTCTAACAAAAATTTAAACCACAAGATTAGTATTACACACTGATAAAACTAAACATACTCTGGTTTTAATCATGGTGAGGTAATGTACCTGTCTTGTTACAGTACTGTAACAAACTCAGCTATGTTTTGCTGGTTGTTTCATTACTGTAAAGAGCATGGGTAAAGGCAAAATTAATGCCCTCCCCAAAGTACATATATGGGTGGGGGTGGGGGTGCATGAATGCCATGCATCATATTGGAGGAAAAAAAATCCCAACTACAAAATGTGGGCCAAGTGAGGAGGGAAATGTGAGGAAGGGTAGTATCATGATTCACAGGGAAAACTACTATTGTAGGGCTTAAGTAATGTAGATGGATGCATTAGTGAAATGATGTCACCACATTCATTATTTCAGAATAGCAAAATTAGAGATTTTAATTTACTCGAGTTACATACATTTGATTTCTACAACAAATGTGTATAGCTGTAATATTTTTATAAATTCTGAAATTAAGGAATTGGCAAAATAAAAAAATGTAAAGTTAGTTACATGTTATAACCTAAAACCCAAGAGTCAGAAACCAACAGACAGGTTTACATAGTCTATAAAAAACTTTTTATAAAGCAATATTCTTAAGTTCTTACAAATCAATTTAAAAACAAAACACATTTCATTAGGGAAATTTTCAAGGAAATATTAGTTTTAGTGAGGCCTCCCCCAATCCTTGAAAATACACATACTACTTAACCCAGCAGTTCCTAAGGAACTTAAGAATGTGTGCAAAAGCTAATTAATTACAATTTAAAACCAAGTAGAACTAGTAATTTATCCCACCATTCACTGATGTCTGTTAACTGAGGAGATTCCTAATGTATTCCCCACAAATGTACAAAAATGTCTGGATGGAAAAACATTCTTTACTATGTAGCTAAGGTATCTCTGAGTGATAAGATCATACATATACCCCTATTGAGAATTATTTTTAGTTATAAAATGTAAATATTCTTGCCATAGCTTTAAAGAATTAAGAGGCTAGAACTCACCTTTGTCAATATGAACTTCTAGAATCTTCTTCTCTCGAACTATCTTCCTTCCATTGCAGCTTTTACATCTATCTTTAGGGCTGATCCGTTCGCCATGGCCCTGGCACTCCATGCACACAGACTGAATTTGCTGAACCATTCCAGGTCCTATCTGATGAATTCTTATTTGCATCCCAGTACCTCGGCAATTGGGACAGCACTCTACTGCTCCTTTCTTACCACCTCGGCCTAAATAGTTTAAAAAGAAATTAAATTATGTTTAAACTCAGTGTTGGACAGGGTAATGAATGTTTTAATAAGAGAGTTCCTAAACACTTCACTTTTTAACATTTGCAAGGTGTGATGGAATGCTGCCTTAAGAACCCACAATTCAACCTTTGTATTTGACAACATACAGCTGCAGTCAGCTTCAGTTGTATCTATAAACACTGACTGCTGTTTTCCCAAGGAGCCATTTTAGAATTGTGATTTTAAATGTGCTCCCAAATAACAATTCATAGAACGTACTTTGTCTGAGGTGAGAATATTTTAATCTAAGAAAAAATAGGACACTGTTTAAATCATACTACATATTATGAAGCCACTGGAATAATTACGTTTTCGAGATAATAGTAAGTATTTGCTTGAACAATATTTAGGAAGACACTAAGAGTAATCACAACTACATTTAAAAAAATATAAATAAAAGTGCCAATATCTTGCTAATATTTCTCTAGATGGTAGGTTTATGTAGTTTTCTTTTTATTTGCACTCTCAATCTTTAGGTAGTGTATTTTTGTCAGTTTTTTATCTCCAGAAAGGCTTCAGTTATATTAAAGATGTTAAATACCATACCTTCACATTTGTCACAAATCACATTCTTTTGCAGAGCTAGTTTTCTTGTTGCACCATTATATAAATCTTCTAAGGTCACTGAGAGCTGATGCACAACATTTTTACCTGGAACAAAATATTGCTCATTAAAAAACTAAGATGCTGCATCTTATTTGTGTTCAATGCACCATAAAAATGGTAAAGAATAATGAAAGGTGAGGCTCATAGAGTATATCTGTTGACTGTTACATGCATATGCATAGAATGTTGGCCACATTATCCCCACATGATCCTCAAACTGTAATTTCAGATAAGGAAAATTGGCTGAGATTAAATAATTAGCCTGAGAATGTAGTGTAGCCATCTTCCAGATTATGGCAATCCAAAAACATTAACTGCAGAATCACTTCAGAGAATCAATGTCATTTAAATAAAGGTATATTTCACAATTACTCTAAACTGCACTTCTGTCCCAATATGTTAAGTCTTTCACTTACTAGGATATTGAGCAACATGGCAAATTACTTCATCCAAAAACTCCTTTAGCACACCAACTTTCATGCTACAACAATCATGACTGACCAGGGAAGCTGATGCATTTATTCAGTCTCCATAAAGTACCAATTACTACTTCTTCCAGAAGTAGGAACAGCACATTTACTACTTGGCCAGCACTAGTTAAAGAGTGGATTTCTGCCCTGGCTAGTGTAGCTCAGTGGACTGAGTGCCGCCTGTGAACCAAAGGGTGGCTTGCTCGATTCCCAGTCAGGGCGTAGGTCTGGGTTGCAGGCGAGGTCTCCCGTAGGAAACATGGGAGAGGCAACCACACACTGATGTCTCTCTCCCTCTTTCTCCTTCCCCTCTCTCTAGAAATAAATAAAATCTTAAAAAAAGAAAAAGGCTGTTTTATATCCATGCTATTCAACACAGTAGCCATTAGTCACATATGGCTTTTGAGCACATCAATGTGGCTATCGAAGACTAGATTGAATTTTTGTCTGATCAATCTAAATTTGTTGTGGCCAGTGGCTACTGAGGAGTGCCATATCTCATTTCGGAACAGGAAGTGGAAGGTACAGATCATACGAGGACACCAGCCGATGGTTAATAAGTCCCTAGCAGTGGTTCTTCCACAAGGACTTTACCCACCACAAAACAGTATTGCCTTATGCCTAAGTGAAAAAAAGTTCTTAAACTCTTATCTGCACAACATGCCAGTTGTGTACATTCCTAGTTTCCAATGAAAGTGTGAAGTATATTCTTCTGCTCCTAGCTCTGTCTTTGGGATCTGTATCATATAGTCCCACATAGCTGGGTCCAGCATGCTGTAAGCTGCCCTTCATTATTAAAAAGATAATTAAAAAACAAACAGACAAAAAACCCTAAGTGACTGACTGATTGCAAATTGTTTTAAGACAATAAAAACATACTGCCCTTTCAAGAAAAACTGAGTAAACAATTTCCAGTCAAATTTTAAATAGCTCAAAGTGAAATTCAATGGCTTCCCTATTCCTTCAAAATGGGTTCTAACCATTAGCCTTTACAGTGTAAACTGTACTGAGAACAAAGTGAGATCGACTCTGACCCTAACACTGTTTTCCTATGATAAATATCTCTACAGCCAGGAAATGACTTTTTAAAAAATATATCTTCATATAATAAAAATGAAGCAATGATAAACAGATGGCAGGCTATTTGGAGGTAGTGAACCTATATTCCAATCCCGATTACTACCTCTTGCTACATGACCTCAAACTTGAACTCTTTTTCAACTGAGTATCTCCCACTGGGTTGGGGCTGTCAGGTAAAGGCTTTGAAAATTACGTTCCTATACTTTGTTCCTTTAACTAATGCTTGACAACCTTATTAAAGTTTGTGTCCTACAATCCAAGTCACTTGTTAGCACTTGAATGGCCTACATAATTTTAGTTACATCAAATCTCATTTAAAAAACTATACCATAAATCAAAATGGCAGTTTAGTTTGCAACATTATACCAATATTTAAAATAGGTGAATTCTCAAAAATTTGCTTTGACCAAGAGACTACTCTGAATCACTGCATATGAACTAGATTATTTTCTTACCTCTCCTTTCCCTCTGCATCCTTCCTCCTCCTCCAAAAAACATATCAAAGATGTCCATGGGGGAGCCAAAACCACCACCTGCTCCACCTTCTTTAATTGCCTGTTCTCCTCCTTTATCATATAATTCCCTTTTCTTTGCATCAGAGAGCACTTCGTAAGCTTGAGAAATCTGTTTAAACTGTTTGAGAAAAGAAGTGTTATAAGGCATAGCCACTATATTCGGCATACTAAATTTCATGTTGTAATGGAATTACCATACCCTTGGCAGACTACTATTCAAGCTATGTTTTTGAGTATAAATATACAACTTGCCTTCTCTCCTTCATTTGGATTCTTATCAGGGTGGTACTTCAAGGCCAGCTTCCTGTAAGCCTTTTTCAATTCTTCCTGGGTGGCATTGGGTTTGACCCCCAAAACATCATAGTAAGTGGTTTCTTTAACCATTTTTGACAGCCTGAAATTTAAAAAAAAAATGCAATTTTATCCAACTTTCGACCAGCAGTTGTAATTAGTTAAATCAGAGTTAAAAATAGAAAAATCTCTTCTTCGCCAAATCTGATTATAAGAACCCCACCTTCCCTGAATTTCACAGAATAGGTAGCAATTCCAGTGATAAATCAGCTGTCAGTTCTAACCGAATAAATACATGCTAATAATGGTCAGGGAACAATTCAAAAAGCTTTCTTCTATAGCAGCTGGTTCCCAGTCTCCCACACGAAAGCCTCCATACTACCACCACTATTATCTTATTTCTTCCGAGTTTCCCTTCTCCCTCAGACAGAAGTAATCAAAAGGAGCACAAACAGGTTCAGTCCACTGCTTATTCCATTATCGTCGTCTTTGGTAAATCCCGTAACTCATACACTCCCTAGAAAAAAATACATCTGGGTACAAAGCGGGGGGGGGGGGAGGCAAGGAGTGGTTTATGAAACTGTTGGACAATCCTAAGTATGTTTCTCAATCGCAGGACTCATAGCGCCTCCACGAACACCGCCGAACCCCTCACCTCCACAAGACAGCGTAGCTTACACGACGTTAAGTTTCTCCTGCACTAGGCACAGATTGTTAAAATTTTCTTCCTTTCCCCCCTCTCATCAGGCAGTGAAGGGTAGGAGAAGCCCAGCCAGCAACAAAGAGAAGAGACGCGAGAAGCGAAACCAAAGCCTCCACCCGGCTCCTCCCGCAGCCCCCAGCCCTAGGCTCCTTTTGCGCTTGCGCGCAGGGTCGCCCACCCCCAGGGAGCGCGAGGGGAGGGGGCGCGCGAGGAGGAAAAGCCTTAGACAGCTAGTCCTTGGAGACCTCAGGTTGGATGGAATATAGGGGAAGCTGTATGAAAGGTCTCGGGCCTACTCACTACGTGCCAGAGATAGCTTGCCGGGGTACCACACCAGCCCTCCAAAATGGGAATCGTGGATCCCAGAACCGATACCTCTCCCGCCCACGCGGAGCCAACCGCCTCCCCACCGCGGCTCCATCCAGCTTCATGGCGCCGTTAATGGCGCCGGCCTTGGCTCCACGGGAAGCGCGAGGGCTGAAACTCACCGGTGAGCGGGCCGAGGCAGGTGTGGAGGAGCGGGAAAGAGCGCGTTACGGCGCGCAGCTCCGAAAGCCGCCGCTCCTCCGCTTCTCACCGAGTGTTCTGGAAAGTTCCGCCCGGCGGGCCGCAGCAGTCGTCTTTTGTATCCGAGCCCCAGACGCGTCACCCGCAGGAAGTCCCGCCCTTCCCGCCGCTGCCACCGCCCGCGGTTACCCGGGTAACAGCGCGGGGGTGCTCGAGCTGAACTAGGCTTTGCCGAAAGGCCTAGTGGGGGTGGGTCCAAGCTTGGGTTTCTGGCGCTCCTGGAACTTTCTGGAGCTCGTTCTTCCACCGGGTCGGCCCGAGAATACAGGGGTGTGAGGCAACAGCTGGAATTGCCCAGGGCCGTTGCAATTCCGAGCAAACTCGGAATTTTCAAATCAGTGGGGCGGCCGCCGCGGCTTGCGAGAACGTGGTGGAACTGGACTGCGGGCGGGTGCTGTGTGCCGAATAAGTGTCTCACAGAACAAAGCCCTGCAGCACCTCCACCCTGCTGCCTCTTCGTTTGCCTCTTTCGAGTTAGCTCTGACAGCTTAGTTCTCTTGCCTCTTTCAGCTTAGTTCTTTAGTCCTGAGGTTCTGGGAACCCACTGAGCAAGAAATGCTGAGCAAGATGGCTCTGGACCCCAGAAAAATCTCACAGGCCTTGTTTATTGATCCTTTTCACACGCAGTCCCTGACCTCGTAATTCAAACTGCGAAGTTGGAAGAGCTCTGTACACACTTCTACACACGAGTTATGTACCTTCGGCCTTGCTGCCTCGTACGCGTTAGGCTCCAGAGCAGCAAGCACTAAACAGGGAAACGTTTGCAATCCCTTTGTGCAAACTGAGGACGTTGAGCTCTTCCCTGACCTGGCGTTCGCCTGGCTTGGCTAGCAGGAGGCACGGAGTAGCACCAAGAGTGACTGACAGATTGTTTTATTTGATTTTCTAAATTCCACCTGTCTGAGCTTGGATCTACCGTCTGCAAAGTGAGTCTCTGGGATTTCAAATGCTGGGAGGGGGGCATGTTGGAAAAAGTGGTCTGTTTTCCTTATTCATTAACACAACAAATTTAGGAGTACCATCTAGCTCCAAGGAAGCGGTGACTGGACAGTTGAAAAAATCGGGTTCACATCGCTTAGACTTTAAAATTGCAAATAATTGGGTATAGTTAGACCAAAGGGAGCTGGAGTGGCAGGAGTTGAGGCTTCAGAGCTAGTTGGGTTACACCTCTTGTTTATATCTTGCTAAACTAATGAATCTGAACTTTACCCTGGAGGCATCCCCATGTGTATCTCTCCAGCCTTATCTCTTTTATTTAAATTGTGTATGTACACCAGTGACGTGGAACTATTTGCAGTTCCCCAAATGCACTTTTTCACCTTTCTGTGCTTTTGCTCCGGCCGGTGAATACCTTATTTCCCCAATCTTATATGTTACCTTGTCAAACATTGTTTCTGCTATAAATTTTTTTCTACCCATCAGCAGTTACGGAAACTCTAACACTGCCAGGAAGGGCACCAGCGCTTGATAATATAAAAGTCACGTAAGTCTTAGTCCCTGACCTCAAGGAGTTTGCCACAAAGAGGAGTTGTGTGGTAAATGTCAATAAACAAATATACTGGGGTGCTTATTAGGGAAACCTTGCACCATTTAAGTAAATATTCCAGGCTGAGAGACCAGCAGTTGTGAAAACGTAAACAAGAGATGAGCGAGCAAACAATAACTAAATTGATACTGTACATGTGTTACGTAAGCATTGTAGTTCAAAACTTCCTACTTTGCTGTAAAAAACTGTGCATTTGTGAATCTAACACTGGTTAAGCATGTGAGATATGCATCAGTACAGCAAAACAGTTCAAGAATTTCCACAGTATATATTACCAATTGATAACAAACATGAAGATACCTTCTAGAGACTGCCAACAGAAGGCCGTGCAATATTATATCAAAAATGCTTTTAAAATTTGCAAGCTCACTAAGCTCCTAATTTAATTTTAAGGTTCAGTAGCTTTTAAAGGGCTGCTTATTTTTATTTATTTTTAAGAAACATTTTATTTATTTATTTTCAGAGAGGGGAAGGGAGGGAGAAAGAGAGAAATATCAATGTATAGTTGCCTCTCATGTGGCAACTGGGGTCCCACTGGGGCCCACTGGGGACCTGGCCCGCAACCTGGACATATGCCCTGAGTGGGAATCGAACCAGCCACCCTTTGGTTCGCAGCCTGTGCTCAATCCACTGAGCTATGCTAGCCAAGGCTAATTTTTTTATTAAGATTAAAAATAAGGGGCATATAAATAGAGTAAAAAAAAGAAAAGGAAAACTAGTGCTTATTTGCTTGTATGTGCATAGGATATTTCAGAAGGATTCCCGGAAACTTGCAATATGGTTGCCTGTGGGTGTGGGGGAGAGGCAGATGGAGGGAGACATTTCACCAAGTACCCTTTTGTAATTTCGGAATATTTAACCCATCTGAATGTAGTACTTATTTAAAAATTTAAAAACATCATTATATATGTTCTGTTTTATATTGTTTTCCTTCATGGAAATTTATCTCGATGCTGAAAATATGTCCTGATGAGTATTCTGACTTTTCACTAATAGAAATTAACACTTTTAAGAAGCATTCTTATTTACATAAAATAGAACAAGATTAACAATAATTAAATATGTGATGTTTGATAAGGAAATGGGATCATATTAAATATATCATTTGCCCCTTACCCTTTTTATTTAAGTTACTGTCATCATGTTCAGATAATAAACCTACCATATTTTTAATGATTTCATGGTATGTAGGATGCAGTCAGTGTAATTTAACCATTGTCATATCGATGAATGTTTTGGTGATTGCCAATGTTTTACAACGTTAATAAATATTGTTTATTGTTGAGAAATTCTCAGATACAGGTTCAGCCACTCATGCAAGTATTTCTGTAAATGAACATCTAGAATTAAAATTGTTGGGCTCTGTGGATGCAGTTTTAAAATTGTGATAGCCCTCTCTGTTGTGGCTCAGTGGATTGAGCGCCGGCCTGCAAACCACAGGGTCGCCTGTATGATTCCCAATCAGGGTACGTGCCTGGGTGTTGTCCTGGTCTCCTGTTGGGGGTTTGTGATAGGCAACCACACGTTGATGTTTCTCTCTCTTTCTCTCTCCCTTCCCCTCTCTTTGGAAATAAATAAATTAAAAAATATTTAAAAAATTTAAAATAAAATTATGATAAACAAGTTTCCATACTGGTTTGTATTGCCACCAACACTGTGTGAGTGGGCTTGGCCAATATGGGGGATTCTTTTTTTTTTTAGCCTTTGCTAACTATATAGATTAAAACATGGTATCTGTTGTTTGAGTTTCTTTCACAAGAAAGAAACTGGTGGTTTCCAGTTTCACTGGTGGTGGTTAAGCATCCTCTATCGGGGTGTCCAACCTTTTGGCATCTCTGGGCCACACTGGAAGAAGTAGAGTTGTCTTGGGCCACAGATTAAATACACAAACACAAAAACAAAAATATCACGTTCAAGTAAATTTACAATTTTGTGTTGGGCCACATTTGTAGCCATCCTGGACTGCATGCGGCATGCAGGTTGGACACTCCTGTATCTAAATAGTATTTATCACCGCTGGCTGGTGTGGCTCAGTGGATTGAGTGCAGGCCTGTGAACCAAAGGATCGTGGTTCGATTCCCAGTCAGGGCACATGCCTGGGTTGCAGGCCCGTTCCTGCAGGGGACGCACAAGAGGCAACCATACATTGATATTTCTCTCCCTCTCTCTTTCCCTTCCCCTCTAAAGATAAATAAATAAAATCTTAAAAAGAAGTAAATAGTATTTATCAACTCCTCTATGTCCGTGGACCTTCTTGGTACTTGACCATTTTTCTATGGTGTAACACCATTACTTTAATGTGATATAATAGCACTTTTATATTAGAGATAGTGTGTTTACATGTATGTGTATGTATATTATATACACATATATGTATGCAATGTAAAGGTTTTAATTTTTATGTAGTTTTCAAAAATTTTTAAGTTGATTTTTAGAGAGAGGAAGGAGAGAGAGAGCAAAAGAGAGAGAAGAGAAACATCTATTTGTTGTTCTACTTAGTTCTGATTCGTTAGTTGGTTCTTTCATGTGCCCTGACTAGGGATAGAACTCACAATCTTTCCTTATTGGGACAGTGCTCTAATCAACTGAACTACCTGGCCAGGGCTAAATAAGTTTTGACTCTTTCTTTTTGGCTTTGCATTTCTTTTCTCCTCCCCCTTTTCCTTTATTTGTTTTACTAGAAAGCCTTCACCAATTCATTATAAATACAGTCTTCCAAAGCTGGTGCTTTTTATGATTCCATTTTTTACACTAAAATTATTATTTTTTTATTTTTAAGTATATTTTATTGATTATGCTGTTACAGTTACCCCATTTTTTTCTCCTCTATTCTCCTTTGCCCCACATCCCCCTCCCACCAGCATTCCCCCACCTTAGTTCATGTCCATGGGTCATACATGTAGGTGCTTTGGCTTCTTCATTTTCTATACTATTCTTAACCTCCCCCTGTCTATTTTTTTTAAGATTTTATTTATCTTTAGAGGGGAAGGGAAGGAGAGAGGGAGAGAAACATCAATGTATGGTTGCCTCTCATATGTCCCCCACTGGGAACTGGTCTGCAACCCAGGCATGTGCCCTGACTGGGAATCAAACCACGATCCTTTGGTTTCGCAGGTCTGCACTCAATCTACTGAGCTACACCAGCCAGGGCCCCCTGTCTATTTTGTATCTACCATTTATGCTTCTTATTCCCTGTACCTTCCCCCCACTCTGGTCTCCCTTCCCCTCCCTACTGATAATCCTCCATGGAATCTCCATTTCTGTGATTCTGTTTCTGTTCTAGTTGTTGGCTTACCTTGTTTTTGTGTTTGTTTCTCTTTTAGGTTCAGTGGTGGATAGTTGCGAGGAGTTTGTTGTCATTTTACTGTTCACATTTTTTATTATCCTCTTTTTCTTAAATAAGTCTCTTTAACATTTTGTATAATAAGGGCTTGGTGATGGCAAACTCCTTTAACTTGACCTTATCTGGAAAGTACTTTATTTGCCCTTCAATTCTAAATGAAAACTTTGCTGGATAGAGTCATCTTGGATGTAGGTCCTTGCCTTTCATGACTTGGAATACTTCTTTCTAGTCCTTTCTTGCCTGCAAGGTCTCTTTTGAGAAATCAGCTGACAGTCTGATGGGAACTCCTTTGTAGATAACTGTCTCCTTTTCTCTTGCTGCTTTTAAGATTCTCTACATATCTTTCATCTTGGGTATTGTAATTATGGTGTGCCTTGGTGTGTGCTTCCTTGGGTCCAACTTTTTGGGGACTCTCTGGGCTTCCTGGACTTCCTGGCAGTCTTTTTTTTTTTTTTTTTTTTTTTTTGCCAGATAGGGGGAGTTCTCCATTATTTAGTCAAATAAGTTTTCCATTTCTTGCTCTTCCTCTTCTCCTTCTGGCACCCCTATGATTTGGATGTTGAAATATTTAAAGTTGTCCTGGAGGTTCCTAAACCTCTCAATTTTTCTGAATTCTTGTTTTTTCATTCTGTTCTGGTTGAATGTTTATTTCTTCTTTCTGCTCCAAATCATTGATTTGAGTTCCAGTTTTCTTCCCTTCACTGTTGGTTCCCTGTATATTTTACTTTATTTCACTTTGCATAGACTTCACTTATTCTTGTACTTTGCGACCATACTCAACCATTTCTGTGAGCATCCTGATTACCAGTGTTTTGAACTCTGCATCAGATAGGTTGTGTATCTCACCGTTGCTTAGTTCTAATCCCACTTAGCTTGCTCTATTTTATTTCCATTACACTTATAGCACAATATTTACCTATCATCTCTTCTCTCCACACCCCCTTCCCACTGGAATTTAAACATCATTTGGGCAGGGATCTTTGCTTTGTTTTATGATGTATCCCAGGCATCTAGAACACTGCCTGTTACAGAATAGGTACTGAATTGGAGGTACTGATTGAACAAATGAATGAATATTCATTGTGCCAGACTTTTTACTCAGGCTCTGGGTACATAGTTGTGAAAAAGAAGAGCTGGCTTCTGCCCTCATGGAGCATCCAACCTAGCCTTATAGTCTTGTGGTTTTTCTGCCTCCCTGAACTGCCCTTCTCTGGGAAGTATCTGAGTGACTAATGGTGAATTCAGAGTAGCCTTGCCTCTTAGCAGTGAGCAATTTTCAGGTAGTTTTGCTTTTGACTTTAAAAAAATTCTAATATAATAGCAGGGGCAGAGTAATGCATTCTATTTAGTTATTCTACACTAAAAGTCAACAATTTGACAAGTGCTCCCTTTAAAGTGCTAGGCCTTGCAGATAGCTGAGAGAGGTCATAGGGGTATATCTGGTTTGTTTTCTTTCTTTCTATTTCTCTCTCTATTTTTTCCATCCCTCTACCCTTCCTTCCTTCCTTCCTTCCCTCTCTTTTTTCCTTTATGTGAAGGAAGATGGTTGTAATTTTTCATATTATTGAAGAATGAGAGGATGTGCAGTAAATGTGTTTATTCCTGTCTTTTTGTAATATTTTGGAATGCTTCATCCATGAGATCCTGACCATTTCTTGAGGTCCTCTGTATGCAGTTTGTTAATCAGAGTTTTATTGCTAGAATTCTTTCTTAAGAAAAGAGAAAACAAAAGGAACTTAAATTGAGTGTATTTAAAAATAATCTGCTGATTTAGCACACTTAGCACAGTGTGTCGGCAACATTCTTTCTCTCACCGTGTTCTCACACAGGCAACTGCACGTACAATCCAGGGCAACTTTAAGGCTGGGGGTACACCTCAAGATGGAATGAAGAATTAAGGAAGAACAGTGCTGCACAGGTATGCAATTGAGCTAAATGAAAATTTTTTTTTAATTTTAAAAGATTTTATTCATTTATTTTTAGAGGGGAAGGGAAGGAGAGAGGGAGAGAAACATCAATGCATGGTTGCCACTTGTGTGTCCCCCGCTGTGAACTGGCTTGCAACCCAGGCATGTGCCCTGACTGGGAATCTAGCTGTGATCCCTTAGTTCGCTGGCCCACACTCAGTCCACTGAGCCACAACAGCCAGGGCTGAACTAAATGATTTTTAATATTCCTCCCAAATCTGAGACTCTTGATCTATATAATTTAAATTTCTAAGTAGTGTTTGTTTTCATTTATTCAAATAATCCAGTTGATAGTGTTTTGTTATCATGTTTTGATAATGATACATGAAGTCTGCTCGGAAAAAATCCAGCCATTGTTAATATAATGAGAATGATTTGCATGACATTTGCGTTACATCTGTAACCTGGCAGCCAAGGAGAGCGGGCTGGAATGCACATGTATGGACAACGACAACTTCACTGTAGTAGTCAGTGGGAGTGGTAGATGCCATTGTGTGAGCATGTGTACTGTGTGGCCATTACATTCGAGGTGACTGAGTAGAGCAACGAAATCTGCATCAAATTTTGTGTTAAACTTGAACATTCTTCTGTGGAAACTATTTGGATGGTTCATAAGATCACAGCTGGTGATTGGCAGCTTCACCATGACAATGCACCCACATATATCACGGCTCATGCAGAGTTTTTTTTAGTGAAACATCAAATCATGCAGGTGACTCAGCCCCCCTACAGCCTAGATTTGGCACCCTGTGACTTTTGGCTTTTCCCAAAATTAAAATCACCTTTGAAAGGGAAGAGATTTCACATGATTGATGATTCTCAGGAAAATACAACAGGGCAGCCGATGGCAACTGGGAGGACCTCACAGGGAGCACCTGGGAGGACCCCAGGTGCCTACTTTGAAAGCTACTGAGGCACCACGGTCCTATGTACAGTGTTTCTTGTATCTTGTATCTTCTTCAATAATTGTTTCTATTTTTCATATTACATGGTTGGATACCTTATGGACAGACCTCATACATCATTATTTTCTAGATAATTATTTTAATTCTTTTTTACCTTACTTTGCTATCAAATATCTTCTAAGTTAAATTTGATACCCCATTTGAATTTTCTTTTCTGAACACAAATCGTGATGTAGATATGAATTGCTCTGCCCCATGATCTTTTTGTCAGAAAAAAAATTGATAAAGGAAACTCTCATGGCAGTAGCCTCAATTTGTTGTAAACAATTTCTGTGGTGTCCCATAAACCTGTGCAATGACATAAAAATATACTCTGCAAGATTATTTTCAGCATCTTCTTATACTTGTTAACAACTTAATTTTGTTTAATAATTGCTACATTGTGAATAAACTCTAAAACATCCTCAGTAAACAAAGAACAAAAGAAAAACTCAACTCAAGCAGTGACCCTTATGCACGGTCTCCTCTGGTGCAGGTGACGACTGATTTGTAAACCCTCTAGTGTGCCCACATCACCCGGTGTACACATCTCTGTCATAGCATTTATATAAAAATGTGTATGTATGTACATTATAAATATTGATGGTGATATCATCTCCCAGAAAGGGTTCATAGCCATTTCCAAAGATATAAGAAACAAAACCCCAAACAAAAGTCACATATACATACACACAATGCAAGATACCGTAAGTTAAAGGGGCAGAGAATGAAGAACTGAAGCCAGAGACAAAGCTAAAAATGAGTGTAGGAATGGCCTTCACAGTTGCTGCAGCTGGCACATGAATTTGTCCCTAATGTGACAGCTTCATTGGTCCCACAATTCATGATATCCATAGATAAAATACAAACCCATTACTCTGGAGAAGTAAAACTGTTCCCAAAACTGAGGTCAGATTGGATTGTCTCCCAGGGATGCTTATGCAGAGAACAGTGTGTTATCATGTGAACAGCAGTGTCCTTGACAGCATTCCTGACAGAGTGGCCACTTCACAAGGCTGCCTCGTATAGCCTGTCGGCAACACCCAGAAAGCAAGTCCATGGTGAAAGCAGCACTTCTGAGGTGGAGCGCTCTCTCAGTGGTCATGGCTCCACGGTGTTTGATCTCCTGCACCTACCACAGTGACTGGCATATGGCAGGTGTTGAGACATAGTTTTTGAGTGAATGTCAAATGGACAAGACCAGTTCAAAGACTCCCTGTAGAACGTTCCCCTGATCACCAAGACCTAACACCCTGCTCCCCAACTCTGTAGTCCTTTTGTAGCTATCAAGCAATACAGTTATGAAATGGTTCTTTTACTAGTGGGTTAAATTGCCATTTCAATATTTTAATATTAAATTTCTCAGATCGTCTCCAGATATGGGAGTAGAGACTAGGGAATTTGTGTGTGTGCTCACACTTGGTGGTGGTGGAGGCGTTGGGTCAGGAAAGTGTGTCCTCATCAAATTGGGAAGCCAGTTTGCACGTCACCCTGGGAGTACTGTTGGCTTAGATACAAACTCTCACATCCAGCTGTCCTTCACAGCAGAGGCAGGGTTGGTCATGGTGCTACAGTGGGCCTGTTGCCGTGAGTCTGTGCAATGGGAAGACCCAGTTACAGGGCATAGTAGCACCAGCATTAAAAGAGACTCAGTGCTGAGCTAGCAGCTATTGACTCAAGGCTCTTGACAGACCTGCAGGGGAACTGGGGTGAGTTGAGATCACAGGTTAGGGTTTAGTCATTTTAGTTGCAGAGTTAGAGGCTTTGGGGATAGGGCTTGGCATAAGGGTCTTTCTTCCTGGTGGGTGTCATCACCTCTCAGTTCTGACTGTTATCTTCCTGTTGTTATTGATATTGTAGAGGTATTTCAGAGCAGGAACTTGGTCCCTGTGTGCAGCTTTCTACGTGCATAGTTCCGATGATGTCTGCATCATGATGAAGATGCTCATCTTCTGGTGTGTAACTTTACCTTGTTCACACTTCAACAGCAATGGCTCTGCCAGAGCTAGGACAGGAAACTGGGAGAGAGTATATAGTAGTTAATAATGTGGGCTTTTGCCCTGGCTGGTGTGGCTCAGTGGATTGAGTGCTGGCCTGGAAACCGGGGATTCGCAGGTTCTGTTCCCAGTCAGGGCACATGCCTAGGTTACAGGCCAGGTCCCTGTGGAGGATCTGTGAGAGGCAACCAGTTGATGTATCTCTCATACATTGATGTTTCTCTCTCCTTCTTTCTGTCTCTCTTCCCATCTCTCAAAATTAAATAAAATGTTTATATATATAAAAAAGAACATGCATTTTGACAGAGGCCTGCACAGGTCCCAGCCTGTCCAGGGCTTGGGTTGCTCTCTGCCTTATAAAGCAGAGGGGTTGTCTTCTGGGAAGACAGGATCATCTTCTCTGAAAAACTCTCCTGCGTAGTTGGCTTTGGCATCTTTCAGGAATAGGAGGGTGAGGATTGAGGACTCATGAATTTGGTTTTCATTTGGTGTAGAGGGAGAAGACAGTGGTTATAACCAGAAAATTCAGTGCGAGTTACCTATAGAACTTGTCACTATTAATCCAGCCTGGGCTCCAAGACAGTTGTAGAAGTGGATTTCTTAATAATAAAATAGTAATGGTTCAGTTTAAGAAAAGGAATATGGATTCTGGAAACTGACTCCCTGGGTTTAAGTCCTGCAACAAGCAAGTTACTTATCCTTTCTGTGCCTCAGTTTTCTTATTTATAAGAAGGGATAATAGCCCTGGCTAGTGTGGTTCAGTGGACTGACTGAGTGCCAACCTGCGAACCAAAGAGTCGCTGGTTTGATTCCCAGTCAGGGCACAGGCCTGGGTTGCTGGCCAGGTCCCCAGTAAGGGGCATGTGAAAGGCAACCACACATTGATGTTTTCCTCTCTTTCTCCCTCCTATCCCCTCTCTAAAAATAAATAAATAAAATCTTAAAAAATATATATTTTATTGATTGCTATTACAGTTGTCCCATTTCCCCCCTTCATTCCCCTCTACCCTGCATACCCCTCTCTCACCTCATTCCCCTCCTTTAGTTCATGTTCATGTGTCATAGGTTCTTTAGCTTCTACATTTCCCATACTGTTCTTGCCTTCCCCCTATTTTCTACCTACCATCTATGCTACTTATTTTCTGTACGTTTTCCCCCTCTCCTCCTCCCACTCCCCTGTTGCTAACCCTCTGTGTGATCTCCATTTCTGTGGTTCTGTTCCTGTTCTAGTTGTTTGCTCAGTTTGCTTTTGTTTTTGTTTTAGGTGTGGTTGTTAAGAATTGTGAGTTTGCTGTCATTTTTCTGTGCATTTTATCGTTTTCTTAGATGTTAAAGAACATCTTAACATGTTTAATGTTAATATCTTAACATCTTAGATGTTTAACATTTCTTAGAAATGTTAAAGTCCTTTTAATATTTCATAAAATAAGGGGTTGGTGACAATGAACTCCTTGAATTTGACCTTATCTGAGAAGCACTTTATCTGCCCTTCCATTCTAAATGAAAGCTTTGCTGCACAGAACAATCTTGGATGTAGGTCCTTGCCTTTCATGACTTGGAATACTTCTTTCCAGCCCCTTCTTGCCTGCAAGGTGTCTTTTGAGAAATCAGCTGACAGTCTTATGGGAACTCCTTTATAGATAAATGTCCTCCTTTTCTCTTGCTGCTTCTAGGATTCTCTCCTTCATTTTAATTTTGGGTAATGTAATTATGATGTGCCTTGGTGTGTTCCTTGTTGGATCCAACTTCTTTGGGACTCTCTGAGCTTCCCGGACTTCCTGGAAGTCTATTTCCTTTGCCAGCTTGGGGAAGTTCTCCTTCATTATTCAAATAACTTTTCCACTTGTTGTTCTTCCTCTTCTCCTTCCGGTATCCCTATAATTTGGATGTTGGAACGATTAAAGGTGTCCTGGAGGTTCCTAAGCCTTTCCTCATTTTTTTGAATTCTTGTTTCTTCATTCTTTTCTGTTTGGTTGTTTCTTTCTTCCTTCTGGTCCACTCCATTGGTTT